AGCCTTGGAGACCCTACGGGGCAGTTCTACTGTGTCCTATAGGGTCACCGTGAGTCAGAATCAACTCGATGGCAATGGGTTTGGGTTTTGGTTACGTGATAGATTTGGAGACGCCAGTATAGACCTTCTGAGGGCTTAGATTTAGGAGAGCTTTGAATGCCATGTATTACCATGGAACGTTTTTAGGAAGAAATGACACAGTCCAACTCTATTTTAAGAAGTTGACTTAACGCCAGTGTGAAGAGTTGTAGAAAGAAGAAAGGAAGGCATACAATGAGAAATGGCCCAAGCCAAATTCAACAATGGCTTAACTTGAAACAGTTGGGACTAAAAGAAGAAGACAGGTACTAGAGGAAAGGTTCAGAATTTAGGCCCCGCGATAGAGCAAGGGCATGAGTACCTCCATATAGCCAAACTCAATAGTTAAAGTAGTGTTCTTCCTCCTGCCTGTGCAGCCTCTCCTTCTCGGTCTCCTTTGCTGGCTCCCCCATCACTACCCAACCTCTAAACATTGAAGGACTCCAGGGTTCGTTCTAAACCGTCTTCTACTCACTTTACTCTCTTTCCCCAGATTGTCGCATCTACTTCCTTAGCTTTAAATTGCACCTGTATTGGGTATCTGCTGCCACAATAGGTCTACATTACAAACCACCCTGAAACACAGTGGCTTTAAACAATCAACTTGATCTCACTTCTAATTCTGCTGTTCTTGATTAGAGGTATACACCTGTCTAGGTGTCAGCTGGCTAATCTATGATGGCCTCAGTGCCAATGACCAGGGCACCTCAGCTCTTCTCATGGTGATAGCAGAGGGTAAGAGCAAGGCAAGCCAATCACACAAGTGCTTTTAAGCCTCTGTTTGCATCATGTTTGTTAACATCCGATCAGCCATCAGTGGGAGAGCACTGCAAATGTACACGGAAAAGGACATTGATACAGGGAAAGATGAAGAATTTGAGACATTTTTTAAATCATCCACAATATCTACAGGCAACGGCTTCCAGTTTATATATCTGGCCTTGGCATATTTTCTGAGATCTAGACAAATATGTTCTGGTCTACTTGGATATATCCAGGCATTTTAAATAGCATGTTTAAAATTGAACTTTTGACCTTCCTCTTTTAAAACCCACTCCTCTCCCATGTTCTCTTTCTCAATTAATGATGTTTTCATTCACCCAGTTGCTCAAGCCAGAAACCTGAAGCCAGGAGTCCTTTTGACACTTTTCTCTCCTTCATCTCTAATACGATTCATCAAGTCCCATTAAATATACCTCCAAAATATATCTCATATCTATCTGTCTTCTTCTCTCCGCCTCTCTTGTCACCCCCAATACAAGTTATTTTCATCTGTGTCCTGATCACCTAAAAACATCCCTTTGAACTTGAAATATTTTCTCAAACTATTAATAAGTCCTGCATAGTAGGGGCCCCCATCTATATCTGCAGCCTCATCCTGTTGTAACCTCCTCCTCACTCACCAAGTTGCAAGCTTACTGGCTTTTGTTCATTATCCACATTCAACAAGCACTTTCTTACCTCAAGGCCTTGGCCATGCTGTTTCCAACAGAACATATTGATTGATAAGAGTATGGCTCTGGAGCCCAGACTGCTTCTATTTGAAAACCAGCTCTGCCTTTACTTGTGTGATCCTGGGCAAGCCACATAACCACTCTATGCTTCGGTCTCTGTATCAGTAAAATGAGGATAGAAATAGCACCTACGTCACAGAGATATTCTGAGAATAAATGAGTTAATGTTACTATAGTGCAGTGCCCACAATATAGTAACCACTATATGTGTATTTATTAGCTAAAATATGTTCTTCACTGGGGCCTCCTACTCATCCCTTAGGTCTCAGCTTAGATACACTTTCCCAGACAGGCATTTCTTGATGTCCCCTCACTTCAAACACAATTCATAATTAAGTGTTCATTTGTGTAGGGGGTTTTGTTATTGTTGTTTGATGTCTGTTTTTTTCCCATTGCACTCCAACCTCCATGAAGGCAGACTAGGTCTTTCTTGTTCAACACTCTATCATTAGCACCAACAGAATGCCTTACATATGACAGATTTTAAATAAATATTTGTTGAATGAATAAGTGAATTATGTAGGGTTCAAGTTGGCAACTAAATTATTATGGGTTTGTGGGGGCTTCATTTTCTCCTTCTCTTTTTCTTTTCTAAGAACCTTGGGGAAAGAATGAGTTTAGAATTCATAACATCAAGACCAAGTTTGATCTATTTATCTCTTAGCTTCACAAAGGAGTGAAGATGACTTACCCACTGGTTTTCTATGAAAGCTTTCCCCTAAAACGAGAGAACACAGAGAAAAGAAACATGGAGCCTAGTGACTGTGCAAAGGCATTTGACTGTGTGAATCGTAACAAATTATGGATAACGTAGTGAAGAATGGGAATTCCAGAAGACTTAATTGTGCTCATGAGGAACCTGTACATAGACCAAGAAGCAGTCTTTCAAACAGAACAAGGGGATACTGCGTCATTCAAAGTCAGGAAAGGTGTGTGTCAAGGTTGTTATCTTTTCACCATACCTATTCAATCTGTATGCTCAGCAAATAATCCAAGAAGCTGGACTATATGAAGAAGAACGGACATCAGGATGGGAGGAAGACTCATTAACAACCTGCGTTATGCAGATGACACAACCTTGCCTGCTGAAAGTGAAGAGGACTTGAAGCACTTACTGATGAAGATCAAAGACCACAGCCTTCGGTATGGATTACACCTCAACATAAAGAAAACAAAATCCTCGCAACTGGACCAATAAGCAACCTCATGATAAATGGAGAAAAGATTGAAGTTTTCAAGGATTTCATTTTACTTGGATCCACAATCAACACCCATGGAAGCAGCAGTTAAGAAATCAAAAGACGCATTGCATTGAGCAAATCTGCTGCAAAAGACCTCTTTAAAGTGGAAAAGCAAAGATGTCACCTTGAAGACTAAGGTGCACCTTACCCACACCATGGTGTTTTCAATTGCCTCATATACATGCAAAAGCTGGACAATGAATAAGGAAGACAGAAGAATTGATGCCTTTGAATTGTGGTGTTGGCGAAGAATATTGAATATACCATGGACTGCCAAAAGAACAAACAAATCTGTCTTGGAAGAAGTACAACCAGAATGCTCCTTAGAAGCAAGGATGGCAAGACTAGTCTTACACACTTTGGACATGTTATCAGGAGGAATCAGTCCCTGGAAAAAGATATCATGCTTGGTAAAGTTGAGGGTCATCAAAAAAGAGGAAGACCTTCAACAAGATGGATTGACACAGTGGCTGCAACAATGAGCTTAAGCATAAGAAAGATTGTAAGCATGGTGCAGGACCAGGAAGTGTTTCATTCTGTTGTACATAGGGTGGCTGTGAGTCAGAACCGACTTGATGGCACCTAACAACAACAACAGTGACAGGAGGGCCCAGGGATAATGAATCGGTAACAGAGTATATAGAGTCACCACATGACAATTCAATTAAAAAAAAGCTAATGGTACCAGTTATAAATTTATATATTCATATAGGACTTTGTCCTTTATAAGGATGAGGGAAAAAAGGGGTGGGCAAGCATAGTTTATGCTAAAGAAACTGCTGGTGCTCTTTTTACTTCATTTGCTGTGTAAGTAGAAGTCTGACTCTGCCAACATATAAGTAGGTGAGACCCAGGTTAACTCATCTCTATCTATAGAAAGGGATCACTGGATGGTGCAGACTGTTAACACACTCAGCTGCTAACTGGAAGGTCGGAGGTTTGAGTTCACCCAGAGGCGCCTCAAAAGAAAGCCTTGGTGATCTACTTCGGAAAATCAGCCATTGAAAACCCTACGGAGCACAGTTCTACTCTGACACACACAGGGTCACCATGAGTCTGAATCAACTACGTGGCAACTGGTTTTGTTTTGTTTGCTTTATCTATAGAAAAAGAAACAAATACATCATCTTCCAGGTAACACAGGAAGCCTGAAAACTCAGCATGGTGTACTCGAGGGTTTGAACCCTTTGCCGCCTGGATCCTTAGGTCCCTCGAGTCATATCCATTGACCCATTGCCATAGAGTCAATTTTGACTCATAGCAACCCTGCAGGACAGAGTAGAACTGCCCTATAGGGTTTCCAAGGAGCAGCTGGTAGATTCAAACTGCCTACCTTTTGGTTCATAGCCAAGCTCTTAACCACTGTGCCACCAGGGCTTCACTATGTTGATTAGGAGTAGTGAAAGAGGACATCATTGGCCTGTTCCTGGTCTTAGGGGGAAAGCATTCAGGTATCTTTATGTTTTTCTAGCTATAGCTCCTGCCAATACAAATTGAAAGATAGACATGTGATATATCTATGTGATAGGCATTTCAGATTTATTAACTCATTTCAACTCCCTACAACCCTGTTATGTGGATAGAATTATCCAAGCTCGTACGGTGCCAGAGCTTTATTATGTTCTAATTGTAAGGTCGATACTCATTTCTCCAGAAGGGCCTGCCTTGCAGTCTGTTGCGTTTAAGGTCATTAACAAAATCTAACCCAGCAATTTTTTAAAGTGTGGCCCGCAGCCCTGGGCATCAGAATCACTGGGAATGTTTGTTAACAAACCAGATTCCCTGGCCCCACCCAAGACCGAAGAATCAACAGAGAGGGGTCAGGAATTAGTATTTTTAAAAAGCACCTTCAAGTGATTTCTGTTGCAGGTAATCTATGAATGCAAATTATTTTTATGCAGACTGAAGTATGAGGATCACAAGCCTAGAATATTGGCATTGTTGAAAGCCAATAGCATACCACCTCAACCGATTTAAAACAGGCACAATTATCCAAATTCTAATCTCAGACTCGCCTCAATCTGCACCCGCAGAACACAACCGAGCACGCGCAGCACTCACTCCCGGAGCGCTGGGTGGGGCTCCTTAAGACCACGCCCCCTCGGGACGGGCCGAAGCAGGGGGTGGGTCTCGCTTTAAAGAAACCAGATTCCGTCTTCCCCAGAAGCGGTCCAAAGCCCCGCCCCCGACACTGGAACCAATCAAACAACAGATTGCTGAAGCTCGGGACCAATGCACAGGGCTGTCCTTAATTCTTCTTTGCAGTTTGAAACTGTCAGGTTGCTCCTAAGGTAGCAGCTATACTCGCTGTTTTAGCGGCGACTCGGTGGTGAGACGTGGAGTGGAGGTCGGGTTTTGTCGAGAGCCGGTGACGGTGGGTAGCGGCGCCCCGGGAGGGCCCCGCGTTTCAGAGTGAGGTAGCGGAGTGGGGGTTCAAGCTCCTGGGCCCGGGTTTCCGCTGCCGGGCTGCCACACGGAAGGGCTGAGGGCGTCTTCCCGAGACGCGGGCGATTTAGCTGTTCTGGGATTGCTTGAGGTTCCAGACATTTCTCCTCCAAGGCGTCGGGAAAGAGGGCAGGAGCGAGGGCCCACCAGAGGTATAGTGGTACTGTCGCCATAAGGTTCTGGTAATTTAAAGCATAGGGAAAAAAATCATGCATAAAGCTTTATTGTTTTTAAGTAAGAATTTGATGAAAACAAAAATGGATAGGAAAGAAGACTGGAGAAAACTTCTAATCCTATGCTTACTTGCAACTGCTTTTTTCCTCTTATGTGGAGAGGGGCTGGCGTGCCCCGTCCTTGCTTGCTGCTAGGACCAGAACGGGCACAGGTGACATCACCCTGCTGCCAGCTTGCACGTTAATTTACTAATTGGGGTTACATTTGATTTCCCAAATCCTCTCCCTACCTGCCAGGTAATTACCAAGATATAATTTGATTTCTCTGGCAATAGAGAAACACTCAAAACTTTTTATCCTGTGGTTTCCGATACCTTGGGTTAAAGAACACTGAAAATTTAGTAAACTGCGGTGCATCTGCAACTCATTAAAGCAAGTTTCATTTTTCTTTTTTGTTTCTGAATCTAGAAACAGTGAGGAAAATGCTGCTATTGTAGGGTTTTAAATAAACTCTCGTACCTTGTTGACATCAAAGCAGGAAGAATGGAAGACTTACAGCATATTTTCAAAAAATGCAATAGTTGTTTTGTGTGGGCAGTATATATATTCAGAAACTCATTTTTGATGTCTAATCATACTCTTCAGCACCACCCTACCCCTACTTGTATTACCTACTCAGTCTGCAAACAAATAACTAAATAAAGAAGTGAATGAAAATATAAATAGACCGAGTTACCACCGTAGTGGATATGAAGTCAGTGAAACAGCAATTCCTTGTTGCAGATGTATGTGCTTACTGTATCCTTCCTAATTGGCTTATCTAAAGACGGTCATGTTGAGATTTAGTTTCCTTATCATATGTTAATATATACAAAGTAATGTTTATTAAATAAAGTTGAAATTACCTTTTAAGGTCTTCACAATCTAGCTCCAATCTATGTTTCCATTCCAGTATTGCACTCTTCCCTGTATCTGCGCTTTTTACCTCAGTTTACTCATCTCCCCTTTGTCCTTCATCCCACTGTGTTTGAGACCTGTTGCACTTCCCACTGAAATTGCTCAGGCAGATGTCACAGCAACTTGATTGCCAAATTCAGGGGAGTCTTCAGTCTTCAGTTAGATGATGCTGCCTTCTTGAAATTTGTGATTCTACTCTCCTAGTTCTCCTGTTCTGACTTTCTTTTCAGTCTTCTTTGCTGGCTCCTCTCTTCTCTTTAAATGTTAGTGGTTCTGGTTTTAACCCTCTTTTGAAAGTAGTGGTCCTTAATTTATTAGGGTTATAGTCCCCTGTGAACACACATTGAAAGGTAAGGATCCTCCTCCTAGTGAAATGCATATGTGCGTTTATACTAAAAATACTGCGTGTAATTTGAGTGTAAGTCTCTCAGGTTAAGAACTCTTTCTCAGACTCCTTTGTTTCGGCAGTCCCCATTGTGTTGATAATTCCTCGGTATTATATGTCCAACCTACACCTTCAATACAGGACTGCCACACTGCATAATTCCGGGAAGCACCATTGACATTTTAGCCATTGCGAATAACAGTCCTTAGAGTTGTACAGTGCGTAGCCAGTGTGGCCATATACTGCATACCTGCAGCTTCACCTCAATGCCTCAGAAGCACCTCATACCCAACATATCTGATATTAAAATCATTGCCCTTCCTCCCAACATGCTCATCTTCCTACATTCCCTGCCTTGGTGAATGGCACTATCATCTATGTCACCCAAGCCAGAAATTAGAAAACCATCAACAGTTCTTCCTTTTAAGCACTTAACCAATTATTGGTCATGATCTTTTATTTGCACTGCCATAACACAACTGACACGTAGTTGGACCCTCCGTCCCTTTCCCATTGCTACCTCCTAGATTGAGGTCCTTATTTATCTCCTAGATTACTGCTGGAGGGAACATTTATATCATGGACTACTGTAGCAGGCTCCCAGTATATCTCTCTTCAGTACCCCACCTCTCTAATCTGTCCTCAAAAATGCCAGATTGATCCTTCTAAAAGCTGAGCCTGCTCATGTTATCAAACTTCCTAGAAGGAGCCCTGGTGGCTCAATGGTTAAGTACTCAGTTGGCAACCTAAAGGTCGGCAGTTCAAACCCACCAGTGGCTCCATGGGAGAAAAACCTGGCAGTCTGCTCCTATAAAGATTATTGTTATTGTTTGCCATCGAGTTGATTGTGACTCATAGCGACCTTATAGGACAGAGTAGAACTTCCCTATAGGCTTTCCTAGACTGTAATCTTTATGAGAGCAGATCACCAGGTCTTTTCTCCTGTGGAGCTGCTGGTGGGTTCGAACCACTAACCTTTCAGTTAGCAGCCGAGGGCTTAACCATTGTGCCACCAGGGCTCCTTCATGCAAAGATAACAGCCTAGGAAACCCTGCGGAGCAATTCTTATCTGTCATGTAGGGTCACTATGAATTGGAATTGACCTGACAACACACAGCAACAGGAGGCACAAACAGTTTGCTCTCAACTGCTAACAGAAAGGTTGGTGGTTCGAACCCACCCAGCGATACCACAGAAGAAAAGACCTAGCGATCTGCTTCTGTTATGATTATAGGCAAGAAAACCCTATGGAGCAGTTCTATTCTGTAACACATGGGTCTCCCTAAGTCAAAACTGACCCGATGGCATCTAAAAACAACAGCAGCAAATCATGTTATCACTGGTTTAAAACATTTTAATGTATGTTTCAGGATGAGACCTGCTTGTCATTTGGGTTTCATCTCTTGGGGTCGTTCATCTTCTCTATAAGAACTTTTTCTGGCCCTTTCCCCTTCTTCACACCTGTAAAGCCCCGCCTCAGGAAAATGACTACTCCTACTTCCCTGATTTCTGCCTTTGCTGTTTTAAGGTCTAACAGCACTTTTTTTCAGCAATCAGTCATTTATATTAATGTACTTATCTGGTCCTCACTACAAATTGTAAAGTCCTTGAGGACAAAGACTTTCTTCGTCTTGTATTCCCCACCAATATCTTATACATAACTGGTGTTCAGATATTTTGAAGTCATTATTTGTCTTTTAGATAATTTGTTTTTGTGTTACTAAAAGTACTTTCATTATCTGTGTTTTTTGAGTTAGGACTTTGAACAGTTTTTCTATACATTTATTTGAATTTGCTTGTCTTTATAAGCTTAATCATGTTATCAAGCTTCTACAAAGAGCCCTTGAAATAATATTCCCAAAAGGTTAGTTTATGAAATTAAGATTATTTTTTCAAAGTTGACCATACATTTGAACTAATAGCAGCAGCGGCAACACCACTACCCCTTTGAAGAAACACACAAAGAGTAATTCAGTTGTTATAAATAAGTGTGTTAATTTTTTCCTCTTATCTCACCAGTTGCAAAGGGTAGGCCACTGGTTATTTAAACACTTTTTGATGGATAATATGAATTAATAAATTGATGAACTATTTGATTCAGGTGATTTTAGTACTTTATTTAGTTATCCAGTTTACACCTAAGGAATATAACCTTTGTAAACTACTATGGTCTTCTTGGCAAAAACAGAGACTGGAAAATATATCTTTGGACGAAGACCGTGCATCAAATTAAAACTATTATTGTGGAAAGAAGGGGAGAACAGACGTTAGGGACAGCCAGCAGTCTGCCACACCTCTCAAATGCAAAGATATGTTACCCAAGCTGTTTTCAGGTCTTCAGGAGACCTCACAATCCGTTGCCCTCAAACTAGCATTATTCACTCTGATTTTAGGGGTGGGAAAGGAAGGTGGTGAATGACAGGGGTTTTGTCTATGGCCAGACCTTTGCAGGAAATATGGAGCCATTGTTTCAGCAAAGAGTGAGAGTGTTCTGACCATTTCCTGCCTTTCCTAGAGCAGTCTGTGATCTCCTGATGAGGTATACCCCCACCCTTGCTGAAATCCCGACAGGACTTTTTTCGTATTATTTGGGAAAAGAAGGGTTCTAAGCAGGGAGTTTGCACAAATTGTTCATTCTCCCTTGGTTCAGTATCTTACAGCAAAGTGCGCACTAAGTTGTCACACATTGATTCAGAATAGTGATCACAATCTTTCATTCTCAACAGGCCCCGGTAGAGATTTTTCTTAGAAACTACCATTTTTCTTTACCCGTCAGGCATTTGTCTTGTCTCCTTGAGTACATTATAAACTCACTAATGTTGAAGATTGAGTCTTTAACTATTTTTCTTGCCCAGTGATTTTTGCCTACAGATGCTCAGTATGTTGAATGATTTTAACATATCACATGATGATGGTTTGCAGATTAGGATGCTGTTGCACTTAAATGTATCTAGAAAGCAGTTTGTTGTATTTTAAGTATTGAGGGAAAAAACTAAAGTTAGCTTCTACTATTTTATAGTATTTGTGCAGAATGTCATCCGATGAGGAGAAAGTCTCACCTCCAGTTTTGCCACATGACTCCGATCGAGGCAGTTCTGTCTCATCAGATCTTCAGGTAGGAAGAAACGTCTAAATTTGTCGTGACTTTTTTCTTTTAAAGAAGTGATCATATGAGGGAAAAGTTGGAATACATTTTCGTTCATTCACTCCATTTACAAAGGAGTCTTTCAATTTACAATAATGTCAAACTTTAGGAATTACTTTACTAACTTTGGGAATTACCCTAAGTCTTAAGGCAACTAATGCTGCCATAACAAACAAACAAAAACACCCCACAAATGGTTGGCTTTAAAGAACAGAAATTTATTTTCTCACCGTTCTGGAAGCTAAAAGTCCAAATCGGCATCTTGGTTGTGTCAGTTCTTTCTGTGGGCTTCTCTCCTAGTTGTTGGTGTCTGCTGGAAATCCTTGGCATTCCTTTGCTTGTAGACGGGTCCTCACATGGTATCTGTCTCCCCCCATGTGTGTCTTTGTCTCTATTCTGCTCTTTTTTTAAGAGAACTGTTCAGAAGTGATTGGTTTATTCCAGTATTGCCTCATTAGCATAACAAGAAAGCCCCTGTTTCCGAACAGGGTTATATTTACAGGTACAGGGGTTAGGACTTCAATGTAACTTTTTTGCGGGGGGAGGGGACACAATATATAACACCTTACTTTTTTTAATTCAGGAAGTAATCAAGAAGTCTTCAAATACTTTTTGTACAAAGCCTTCAAAAAACACAGTGGGAGAAGCTGAAAATTTCAAGAAACACTTTTTCTTGAAATTTCCTCATTGTAGCTGGCTGTCATGAATCTGAATTTCACTTTTAATGCAAATTAATACAGTATCAAGCCATCCAAAGTTCTGGGGCTTTGAGTTCCCTGTGTTCTACTCTCTGAGGTTCTAGTCCTGTTGCCACAACATTCACCACATTCTGCTGCCCAGGACCTGGACGTTGACAGATAAGTTGGATAAATTGACTACAGGAGGTGTGGTTTTTACATGAAACGCTTTAAATTTCTTTTATTTTTAAATGTTTCATTATCAAAAATATGTATTCAGATTTCTACAGTAGATTTTAAATGAAAAGAATACTGACATGGTATCTCTTAAGTTTTATATTTAAATCGCTTAAGAGGGGAAAAGCTAGGTATTATATTTCTATCTAAGAGTAAGTTGTTATTGGCACTATATAATAATGAGAAAAGCAACAGGAAACTTTTTTGAAAGAAAAATATTCTTTTACTTGAAATTATGAATTTAGAATTAGAAGGTTATTGGGAAAATGTCTGAATATTTACTAGGATAAAAGTAGTCTGTAATTGTGACAGAGGTGTTTCTACCCTTCCCTTCCTTTTGATAGAACCTCTCCCACTTAGCATTTTCTTTTTAGGTAATAGTGTTTTCCTGAGCCCTTCATCTCTGCCTTATCAAAACTTCCTTTAAGAAAGAACCAACTAACGTATTTATACTAAAAGGTAAACACCTTGTATGATCTCAAATTGTCATTTTGTCGGGAGTCAAAGCTTTAAATCAAAAGAATAAATCTCTACAGTGGAATTTAAGAGTTGGGGGAAGCACCTTCTGGACATACCAGAAATCATCTTGTGTTATTGGTTACCTGTTCATAATGTTAGCCCAGCAATCACTCTGTTTATTAGTAACGCTCAACTTAACATTTAATATAAAAGCCCTTCATAAGTCAATATTCCTCTTAAGGGGTTTTTCCTTACTATCTCAGTTACGTGAATACTTCATAAAATTAACAATGGTAAATGCTAGAGGAATAGGCAGAATCCATGTTGCCTTATTCACTGGTAACTTTCTCTTAGTACAACTCATCCAAGTTACCCTTGACCTCAGCTGGTCCCTGATACGTATGGGTTGAGCTATAATTCATGGTCATGTCAGTTCAGCTGTTAGAGGGTCAAAATTACAAGTTTTGGTCGTGACTCTAGAATTCTTATTTAATTAAGTCAGGTTATCGTTGACAATTAAGAAAGGTAGTATCATTTATTTTGATCCTTAACAGAATAATAATCCATTTTGTATCTACATTTATGAAGTTCTAAGATAGTTGTTTAAATAACTGATCTTTAAAATCTTACCTTAAATTAAAATAATATATGTAGATTGAATATTATTAATATATACCTATTTACCTCCTCTTTGAGTCATAGTGCTTGTTGTGGGAACTTTGAAATGTATGTTTAGATCTTTTTTTTTCCCTTTTCCAATCTAGAACAGAGGTCACACTAGGAAGCCACAAGTTAAAGCCACTGACTTCCACTTCTACCCCCCTCTTCCCTCCACCTTACAGGCTGAAAGTGCAAGCTCTGACTAGTCACCTCTAGTTGTAATTGCCACCAGTAGAGGAGACTCTAAAAGGTTTCTAGACCTCAAAATTTTAAGACAGCCACATTTTTATATGTTCTAAGCCAAAATCAAAAGTATAAATTGGCTGTTCGGGAAGTATAATAGTTGGGATATTGTTTTGGCTGCTTGGACAGAAACCAAGTAAAAGTGGTTTAAGCAAGTGGCTTAAAGTTTGTTTCTCTCTCTTGTATAAGTCTAAGCTGGTACATCATCCTGAAGTCATGTGAAGACCCAGTTTCTTCTCTCTCATTGCTTTGCCATGCTTTAGGGTGTTGGTCTTGCTTGCATCGTCAGAGCTTGCTCACTGCCACCTGTAGCCCATGGGAAGCTGGAGAACAGAAAGTAGAAAGCAAGTGGTTTCATTTTCAGGACTTGACCTGAAGTTGTTTGCAGTATTTCCATTCAAATCCCATAGACCTAAACTAAGTCTCTTAGTCACACCTAGCTGTAAGGGAGGCCAGGAAATGTAGCTGGATGGCCATTTGCCCAGGTCAAAAACCCTGAGGTTTTATTAACTGAAAGGAATACAGGGAAAATGGATGCTGCTGGACTGTTACCAGGCTCTAGTACAAAGAATTATTGTACTTGAAATTTTGTATATTATGTTAGTTTATAAGCACTGACTCATACATTCAGGTTATAAGAACCAGTGAATATCTTGCATATGGCTCCAAGTTATCAAACTGTTCAGGAATTTTCTTTTTAATAACTGTAAAACTGATATAGTTCAGGAATTATATTTTACAAATTTAAGGATATTTAAATCTATTTAAAGAATATTGTCAGCATAAAAATTAAATGTTGTATATTTGGTATTCTAAATGATTTTTTTTTCCTAATAGTCTTCTGCCTCAGTGATAACCATCATGTGAAGTACTTTTATTTTCCAGCAGGAAATGTAAATTTAAAATTCATTTGTTTATTGTCATAAAGGGGGAATCACTTAAAAGAATTCGACAATAGCAGTATGATGAGATTGATTTAGACAGCATTTCTGTCAATTCAGTTCAGCAGCAATGTACTGTGACACTTCAGGAGGTAATTCTGAGCATCAGTTAGCATTATACTTAAGATGCATCCAAATACTAAGACGGATGTGGCTAATAAAATGCTGTATATTGGATTTTTCTATATCTAAACTAAACTTTCTACGGAGAAAAATTAATGCATAAAAACCCTTCAGAATAATGACATTGCACATTCTTGGAAACCTTGCCCCCAATTTTTTTAATGCAAGGATATTCTCTGGGCCTATGCTGTAAGACTGCATTAGAAATGACTCATTTTTAATAGGAATATTTGTTGCATCAGTGAACAAGCCCTTGTGAATGTTGACTAAATTCCAGTATATTTTTTACTTCACTAATAGATAACCATTTGTTGATGTAGCTAAACAAATAGTTAAATATCTAATTAGGAAGTCCCCTTCCCCCTCTTTTTTTTTAACTTGCAATATTCCTGTAAAATCTACAATTTGTGACCAGCCATTTTTATCAATCCGTTCTCATATGCCACGATGTTGCTAGCAGGTAGAATAGAATAGGTTGCCATTCGCATTGTCTTTGTATCTTCAGTATTCGTTCTCTTCCAATATTTCTCTTATACTGTTTCCATGCTTATGTATGAGAAGAGACTCAGGGTTGTTGCAGGGGTGGCCAGAACCAAAACTCTCTGTCATCTCTAGGCTTTCCTATTGTGGAGTCTTTGTGGGCAACACCTTTGACCTAAATTTCAGGAAGAAAAGAAAAGCAATGGCTAGCTGGGTCTGCCTACCTGCACATTTCCCCAAATGGGGAAGAGCTCTCCTGTGTTGTAGGTGTTGATGGGCTTCAGGGAACTATTCTAGGTAATTTGGATGTCACCATTGTTAAACTGACATAGTAAAAGAATCTGGGTAACAAGATACTATCACTAGCGGGCATTTGGGTAGGTATATTTTTAGTTCATTTTTTGAGAAATTTACTTACTGTAATAGTCCTGATAATGAATAAAAACAAATCAAAAGTACACATTCCTTATTACAAGAGAACACTGTTTTGAGTACTGAAGTAGAGACATCTTTGACTATACCTTTATCATTCTTTTGCCTGAGTGTCCATTAAACAGTGTTATAATACATTATCGATTGTTGGCTTCTTTAGGAAGAGTATGAAGAACTGCTTCGTTATGCTGTAGTGACTCCAAATATTGAATCAAGTACCTCACAGTTATCTCATCCTAAGGGAGACGTGGTGCAAGATGTTAAAATTCCTACTATAATTGGTGATATTCTTCATAATCAAGGTTATGTATATTTTTCAAGATATCTCTTAATTTAAAATCCTATTTTAAAAATATTGAGTTTATTAATGATGCTGACTTATGATTGTGAAAATGCCTCTCTAGATCAGTTATTCTTCTCAGTCAGGCAGCAGTGTCTATCAGTATCCTCTGAGGGCAGATTTTAAATTTTAATGTTGTTCTGGGTTCTTAAATGACTGCTGGATTATTGTTTGAACTTCATTTGACTCTATTATGAAAAGTAATAAAGCAGTGTTATAGGAATTGCATGTCTCTTAATGGAGTACATTACATCTCTATTTGTTCTGACAGTTGTATGCCATGATTATCTGGGAAACTAAATGCCCAAAGCCCAAAATTAAAGATAGTCCATAGGTAGCCTTCAGAATCCCTTAAGTTTGTGAACCATGTACTAAGACTTTGTCAGTGGTATTTGTATGGGCATAGAGGATTGTCTAGATTATCATAAGGTGGACCATTTTGTAGATCATGTCAAAACAGAATTGAGAACCCATGCAAACCAGGATGTATGTTGATGGGTGAGTGAAAGGTGGAGAAGGGAGGATAAAGCTCTTTTCACCTATCTGTTCCTTATTCAGTAAAGTACAAGTGTAAGATCCCAAACAACTCAGTCTAAATAAGTGTTCTTTCCAAAGAGCACATGTTTCCTTTGGAAACACAGAAAGCCCTGATGTTTGACAGTTATCACACTGTAGGCCTAACTCCAAGGATCTCTGTCCTTGAAGGCACATGACACAGCCCATTCAGAGTCAGTAAGCTCCTGGGTTTCTGGTAAGTCACAGCCCTAGTGTCTATTGTTCCTCTTCCCCTGTAGACATGGAGCTGTCATTGCTCCTTAGTCTTTAGCCTACTGCATTGGATCGACAGATAGGACCAGAACCATCAAAAAACCTTTATTCTACTACTGAAACACTCTCTGCCCAAATGCTGTTTATCTTCAAGAGATGTAAACTTTGGATTTATTCCCTCCGCCTCAGTGATCTTGATCATGTTTGCTTACACACTGAGTATCTCAACATGCAGTTCCCTACTGAGCAAATCCAGACAAAGTGCTGAATACTCTCTTGTCTTATAAATGTAAACAGGCAAGTCAGCATTTTTAGCCCTGTGCATCTCTGCTGTTAAGGTGATTACCAAAAGCTTGTTTCTTTTTCCATTGCCAACAGTACTACTGTACTGTTGTTCCCACTGACCCAACACAGGAACCCTGTCCTTCCCCCAGCTCTTCAACATTTCAAGGTAATCACCTGGGATTTATGACCTCTGCTCTTTTCTAGCATGTAAGATAGTATTTATTTGTTTAGCTCTGCCTTTTCCAAAGAAAAGGATTTGAGATTAAACATAGAACATATAGTGAATTTCGTCTTTAGATGTCCTGATTTATAAGTAGATGCTGTTAGAATGTACTATGTAAATTTATCATCACATCTTTCTTTTTATTTTTGGTATTGCTGTTGTTTGGTATAAGCAGGATGTGTCAAAACTGGCAAAGTATATATAAGCCTCTAACAGCCATGCCTGGGAGCTTGTTCCCACTTTCCTTTTTACCATATATTGACTAGAAGTTCCTGAGATGGAGGCAAGGAAGGCCCTATTTTGGGGGAACCAGTGCCACTTTGGAGCCCTGGTGACGCAGTGGTTAAGAGCTACAGCTGCTGACCAAAAGGTTGGCAGTTTGAATCCACGAGCCTCTCCTTGGAAACCCTATGGGGCAGTTCTGCTTTGTCCTATAGAGTCGCTATGAGTCAGAATCAACTCAACAGCAATGCGTTTGGTTTTTTGTTTTTTTTTTTTAATGCCACTTTAGTCTGATGGCAGCTAGTGAAGAGCAGCAGGGCCCTGGGAATATCCAGTGTTGTAAGATAGCACATCCTTTTCTAAGTTCTAAGGTTATTCACTCACTTATTCTCTTAGCGTGAATTGCAAGCTATGGTAGACAGGGTTACATTTCACCCATATTTCATGGCCCACCCTGAGGAATGATTATGGTTCCCCACTTTCTTCAACTCAAGCATGGCAGTGTAGCTTGCTTTGGCCATTGAATTATGAGCAAAAATAAAGTGGGGCACTTCAGGCAGAAGCTTTAGGAGAGGGAACATGGTTTTGCATGTTCTCTTTTCCCCTTTACCATGGTAACTGGCAGTATTCCAGGAAGGGACAGTTTTGTCAACTTGGGTCCCAGAGAAAAGACAGTGTGAATGTTCATGATAAATATGTTAACATGAGGGAGAAATACACCTTTGTTGTAAGCCGTTGAGATTTAGGGGTTTCTTGTTAATGCAGCAAAATCCTACTTTCCTGTACCGACACAAACTCCTACTCTGTATATATAAGGAGAAAAGAACATGAGCCTTCCTGTCAGGAAGTTTATGTAGTCTATTTAGAAATACTTGTTATTGTTGTTAGGTACCATCGAGTCAGTTCTGACACAACGACCCCATGTACAACAGAACGAAACACTGCCCGGTCCTGTGCTGTCCTCACAGTCGTTGCTATGCTTGAGCCCATTGTTGCAGCCGCTGTGTCAGTCCATCTTGTTAAGGGTCTTCCTCTTTCTTGCTGACCCTCTACTTTACCAAGCGTGATGTCCTCCTCCAGGGACTGGTCCCCCCCGATAGCATGTCCAAAGTACATGAGACGAGGTCTCGCCATCCTTGCGCCTAAGGAGCATTCTCGCTGTACTTCTTCCAAGACAGGTTTGTTCGTTCTTCTGACAGTCCATGGTATGTTCAGTATTCTTTGCCAATACCATAATTCAAAAGCATCAGTTCCTCTTTGGTCTTTCTTATTCATTGCCCAGCTTTTGCATGCATATGAGGCGGCGATGAAAACAGCATGGCTTAGGTCAGGCGCACCTTAGTCCTCAAAATGATATCTTTGCTTTTTAACATTTGAAAAGAGTCTTTTTGCAGCAGATTTGCCCATTGATTTCTTGACTGCTGCTTCCATGGGCATTGATTGTGGATCCAAGTAAAATAAAATCCTTGACAGCTTTAGTATTTTCTCCATTTATCATGATGTTGCTTACTGGTCCAGTTGTGAGGAGTTAGAAATACTAGATATGACTATATAAGGAAATTATTTAAAGAATAATATATTTCAGATATATATACATACACACACACGTATGTATATGTAAATGAAGATAGGTTGGCTTCTTTAGAAGCAGACTCTGAAAACGAGTTTAAGGTAAAAGATGTTTATTCGGAATCAACATTTGAGAAGGGAAGGAGGACTGGGCAGAGGGAGAAGTTTATGACGTAGACCATCAACACTCCAGCCAATCCAGCGAAGAGTTCTGGAGCGAGTATTGCCCATCGGAGTATCCCCAATCAGGCTGAAATGGCCAGACTTTTGTACTCTCACCTTGCTCAATCACCAAGTGTGTGCTACCCCAGAACAGAGCTGACTGAGGTGGTCTGCAGATGAGCAGCAAGTCCCTCCTAAAGGGAATGGGGCGGGATCTAGGCAGTACATCTCCATGTGCATCGAAGACAGTAAATACTGAAGTGCCAGATTAGTGCTATAAATTCTTGGAACTGAATTCAGAGGAAGGAGCGGTCACTTGGGCAAAAGGGGTCAAAGAACCAAAACCCTTAAAACATTAGTAACATTGAGAATGACATCAGGAGGGGCACTCCAGTAAAGAGTTGGGACTGTTGACCTATGTGGCTAAAGCAGATCCGGGAATAAGTAGAGATAAAAGTAGAAAGAGATTTGGAGCCAAATTTTTAAGAACCTTAAATTCAGGCTAGGAAATGTTAGCTTTACTTGGGAGTAGGGGATTCTATTGAAAGTTCATGCTCTTTGTTAAGAAAAGACAACTGCATTTTTATCTTCTCAAACCAGTTCTTCCTGTACTTTATTCTCTCCATTTTGAGTTGATTAAAGGAACCAGCCTTTTTCTGGTCTCAGATTTTTTCTTCTTGTTCATTGTCTTAGTGTTACTATATCCTCAGCATATTGTGTTTTACTTGTTCTAAAATCTTAGTCATGTACTGCAGCCTTCTTAAATTAAGTATAAGTGATTAGGCATTTATTTAAGAATGATTCCATTGAATAAAAAAAATGAAAACCTTCTTTTTAGCAGGAAGTAACCTCGTAGTAAGAGAAACTGGGATGGAAGTTGGAAAAGGATGTGATTTAAATACTTCAGGTCATTCAAAGACAGATGGTATGACTTTTTCTTAGCTTGTTTTTATTAGTATGCATTTTGTGTTTTGATTACTATTATCTGTGTAGTAAGTGCAAAGATATAGTAATTTCAGCATATAATAATTTCAGCATATTGACAGGATTTTAAGATGCCTGTTGTTTGTAATGATTTTAAATGATAATATTTAAAATAATTTTTTAAGATTCCAAAATAGTACAATTAAGACAGGTTAGTGTGTGATAGTGTGTGGCACCCTTTCTTAAAACTGTGAAGTTAGAGGGCAAGCATTTTAGTGATTTAAGGGGATGTCGGAAAGTTTGGGCAATTTAAATTTATTCATAAACCAGTAGACTGTTACCAGATTTTTAGGCATTTGTGTACCAACTTAATGATGTTTGTCATGTCTCCATGCTACCTCTTCTGTTATTTAGTATTTTTCTTTCAGTATGCTAAGGGAAACTTTAAATCAGTCACTACTGAATATAACATAAAACTAGTATATACTTGTTACAAATAGAAGTGAAGATGAAAATAAGTACAACCAAAACAAACTTACTAAATTTTAGTTAAATATTGTTGTATTCAGCCTGAAGTCTACTCTTTGTTGAAGGAGGAGCTTAGCAAGTATTAAAGAGCTTTTAAAACCATACTAACTCCATATGGAGCCTTTTTCCTTGACATAGTCAGAATGATTAAAATAATAAAAATGGAATAACTTTTTCAACTTTGTGATTCAGTGTAATTTATGTGAGAAATCTATCCTTTAGTTTCCTCTTTGTAAATGAGAAGTCTTGGGCAATGTAATCTCCGAGAGCCCTAATATTACATTGTATTCTTATATTGCATGATTCTATTTTTTTTAAAAGCTGAATGTATTTATTAAAGATGAAAGAAAGCAGAGCCTATTGCTTTTCCCATGATTAGTAAAAGAAAAATATATTTTTTTTAAATTTTAGGATTTTTATGTAATCTGTCATTCTGCCTTATTCTTTGGGTTCCTTAACCATCTTTAGAACATTTAGGTAGTATTTCATGTAGTAATATATTTTTTATGTAAAACATGCAGATTAGGGAATGATTTCTCCTTTTGCAAAGAATTTTTGAAAGATTTGCTTTTAAGTAACAAGTTCTATGGAGCCCTGGTGGCACAGTGGTTAAGAGCTCAGCTGCTAACCAGAAGGTCCTCAGTTCGAATCCACCAGCTGCTCCTTGGAAACCCTATGGACAGTTCTACTCTGTTCTGTAGGGTCCCTATGAGTCGGAATTGACTCAACAGCAATGGGTTTTTTTGTTTGTTTCGGTAACAAGTTCTATAGTAGATTTATCTTTGATTCATTCAGTAAGAAAGAGAGACAAGCCCTTCAGTCATAGTTTTTAGGACTCTCACAACAAATATATGTGAGATATGATGACGGATAGTCTCTAATTCTAACATAAGTATGTGATAAAATATTAACTTTTCTATTTTGTGCTTCTTTAGAAATAGATAGCATTTCTCTTTCTGGCTCTGTCTTCTCCCATCCCATCCCCAATGTGTATAGTCAGGGCATGGGAATTATGTGTATATGTATATACCAAAACCCACTGCCATCAAGTTGATTCCGACTCATAGCGACCCTGTAGGACGGAGTAGAACTGCCCCGTAGGGTTTCCAAGGCTGTAAATCTTTACTTAAGCAGACTACCACATCTTTCTTCCATGGAACGGCTGGTGAGTTTGAACCATTGACCTTTTCTTTAGCAGCCGAGCACTTCACCACTGTGCCCTGTGCCACCAGGGCTCACTTATGTGTATACATATATATGTATATATTTCTTTTTTAACATAATATATACTTTACTTACTTTTACATTTAATTTTTTTCTTTCTGGTGAAATATATATAACAAAACATTTGCCATTTCAGCCATTTCTACATGTACAATCCAGTGACATTAATTACATTCCCCATGTTGTGGCAGCATCGCCAAGATGTATATCTTTCTTACTTATGTATATTGAAGGCTAACAAGGTGCCTTACAACTGATTATCTGATAAACTAAATTACTAGTCTCTTCCTACTCATAATATTGAATTTTAGTAGCATTAAGATCCATTCTGTTGTTGAAGATACAGTAAAAGTGATCTATATACTGGTACCCTAACCTTGGTCAATTTCTTAAACCTCTCTGAACCTTAGTTTTCTCATCAAAATGGGGATAATAATACCTGTTTCTTAGGGTAGAGTGTATTAAGAGAGCTAATCTTTATAAAGCTCTTATTCAGAAACATAGAGAGCACTTAGTAAATGTTGATGTGATGATGTAGATGATATTACTTACAACTATTGCTGGACCTGGATATATAAAGCATCCTTATTTGGGATAGAAGTCACTTGGGGACTCTGTAGGAGGCATCTCATGCAGGTCAGTCCTAAATCCATGACAGTACTGAAATAAAAATGACCAGATTAAGTAGACTTTCAGTAATTTCTTTGCTTTGTTATCTATGGGTAGCTGACATTTTCTAGCCTGTCAATATAACTCCTTACTAATGTGGATTATTTTCAGTTTGGCTTGACTGCTACAACTTTTTTATCTCTAGGGTCATCACCAGTGTCATCACCAAGGAAGCCCACTCACCCAGTCATGGATTTTTTCAGTTCACATCTTTTAGATGACTCTTCCTCACCATCTAATTCTAGTCATGCAGCAGATGTCCCTGAAGTAGTTGTGAATGATTTTCTTATTTCTGATGAAAACCTTCACAAGATGGAAAATGTACTTGATCTTTGGAGTTCAAGTCTTAAGGTATTACGTACAGGTGTTCACCAGTTGTGTAACAGCTCTACTCTTAAAGCCACTGTTGTCTCTTTTAATTAAAAAAAAAAAAATTTTTTTTAAATCATTAGTTTCCAGTGAAGATTAGTCCAGTGTCTTAAATCGGCACTTCTCAATCTTTAATGTACTTATGAATCACCTGGAGATCTTGTTAAACTGTAACTTCTTATTCAGTAGGTCTTGTGCTGGGCCTGAGATTTTGCATTTCTAACAAGCTACTAGGTGATGCTATGGGTTTAGGTTTTAAATAGTTGGTGAAAGAGCTCTGCGTGTAATGTTGAACTTCTCAGATGTGTTGAAAAGCTCAGTCTACATGTGATTGAGATATCTATTAAGCCTTTACCATGTTATATTTATGACTAATGGAAATGTCTCCTTTTATTTGAAACACAAAATCCAGTTTTAGCAATCTATATTCATTTTATAGTCACTCTTATAGCAACTACAATATATAAGTGATAAACCTCTAAAAATTGGTGATGTTACTGGCCTCTCAGTACAACAACTATTGCAGAAATAGTAAGTTGAGTTCTGTGGTATTTATATTTCTCTATTATTTGGAACATTAAGTTGTAGAAGTAATCTTTTAACATAGCTTCTACTATATTTTTGCCCTGAAACACATTTCCTACTTCTAATCATAATGTTAGTCCATTGGAGTAGTGTGCCACCAACCACTTAAACTGTTCTATATTCAGTAAACCATATTGTTAACCAGTTTTTAGGAAAACAAATGATTATTTGGTCTTTTTACGTATGCCAGTGAGTAGAGTAAAAAGGGATCATAACTTAGCAATTTGTTGTGATTGTTGCGGTGAACTGTTTGGCGAAGAAAGCATCAACTCCCATGATTTCCACTACCACTTCTATCTAAATGACCTCCTGGTCATATGGCTCAGCCCAGGCTGTAATCCTTCATTACTTTTTTCCTGATCCATCTTTAATAGGGACGTTTAAGTCCTTGAATAAATAAAGGGACTTGGTGAATTATAACGCCTGAATTTTTCTTAAATGACAGCAAGATTTCACACAAAGTACTTAAATGGGAGGGGGGGAGTCCCCTTGTGTGATGAATGTGAACTGAAAAGAGCCATGATTGTTGAACTTGGACACTTTTTCATTAGTATGTTCTGAGTTTTTAAATAACTCTTGTGTCGATTGCCTATTCTTTCTCTCTCTCTCTCTCTTTTTTTTAAATGTTTAATTTCAGGATAGTTTTAAGAAGTGGTATTAGGAACAAACTACTCAGTTGTCAGTATCCTTATTTTTCAGACAAACGTCATATCTGAACTAAGTAAATGGAGACTTAATTTTATTGACTGGCATCGAATGGAAATGAGAAAGGAGAAAGAAAGACATGCAGCACATTTAAAACAACTGTACAATCAGATCAACGATTTGAAGGAGCTGCAAAAAGCTTATGAAGTCTCCATTGGGAGAAAAGATGAGGTCTTTTTTATATCTGCTTACTTTAACTCGGATTCAGTAAATGTCTTGCTAGATAATAAATGCCAGAAATTCGTGGTTATTTAGGCCATATAAGATACAAAGGGAGTATCACTTCAGAAGTTGATAGCAAAATATATTCATAGCCATAGGATTCATTCTTCCTGTTAAACATACCAGTGTAATGTCATTTTATCTTTGCTGTCCACTTCATTGAACAAGTTTCCATCATTTTGATGTTTTGAGAGTACCTGCTAGATGTGAGTACACTTTTTTTTTATTCCTAATCTTTTCTTTCTTCCTGACTGCCCTTAAGAGAATGTCGGGAAACCAGCATCGCTCATATTTTAAAAGAGTTCATTTTAAGCATCTCAAATTTGATCTGTGGAATGATAGTCTTTTGTCATTTTATTGATAAACCCAGAAAACACCTTTTATTTCGCTTTTTGTTATTAGCCTCTTAAGAACTTTGAGGATAACGTTCAAGTCTGTATTAATTTGTGTCTCACAGCAGCACATTGAACAAAGCAGATGGACAAGCAATCTGTGGCTCCCTCTCTTCCCTCTCTGATACTCTCATGCGTAGGGTGGTGGCTTTCAGAGAAGAGGGGTTTGCAGCAGACACCTTAGCTACTTGTCTGGAAAAACAGCACTCAAACGTTTGAATGAACTAGATAAATGTTATGTTTTTTAAAATAAATGTGTCTTTTAGTTTTGCAGGGTGCGATGTAAAATTGAATACTTAATGTAGTTTACTCTCTTGAAACAATGGATTCTAATATCAGTTATTTTCTCTGTTACTTTCAAAACTCTGTTACAAAGTTTTAAAATATTTTACTTTTTTATTTTGAAGTATTACTCACAAAAAGAGAATATATATCATGTTAAATTAATAGAAAGTAATAAAGTGATTAGCCATGTGCCGCCATCCAGCTTAAGAACTAGAATATTACCAATATCTTAGAATGTTTGCCTTTTTCCTCCTCTGGGAATTATTTACAGAACCAGAATAAATGTATCTTAGTAAATAGTCCAGCTGACTAAGTCTGTTTTTAATGTGGCTGTTTTAAAATATGTATTTCAGTCATACATTTTTTGTAAGAGAAAATAATAGGATTTAGAAGCTTTCGTAGTTTTTTTAAAGGACAGGATAATATCACTAAATAAATACATGAAAATATAATTATTAATTTGCTTTTGTAAGTTTGTTGAATGCAGAAAATCAAACATGTATTGGGATACTTCTATACCCAAGGTAATAGCAAGGGCTAGAAAGAGATAATTAAAATCTGATCCCTGCCCTCAAGTTAAGTGAATAAATTATCATTAAGTAAATAAAGAATTTTTGTATATGTAACAAAAATTTCAAATGAATAATTATTTTTCTTGAACTAAATGTCAGTGACATTAATTTTTATGTATATAAACTTTTTATTGATGATTAGTAAGGTATACACATGGTGAAGCTTTTTTTCCTCCGTTCTTCTCCCTTCATTTATTGATATTTAGTGTATTCATGTGGGAAAGTGTTTTGGTCTTTTTCAAGATAATAAAAAGGTTACCTGGATGGATATAGTAGTGATCAATAAGCATTCTCTCTAGTATTTTTGATATATGAGAAAATCACTTTACTAATTGCTGTTATTGTAATATAATATTTTGTATAACCAGTCATAATAATTGAGTTAATTGCTGTTTGCAGGTGATTTCTAGCTTGTCTCATGCCATAGGCAAGCAAAAGGAAAGGATAGAGTTGATGAGAACATTCTTCCACTGGCGAATTGGCCATGTCAAATCCAGACAGGACGTGAGTATGAAAAAGAGACCACTGACAGAATTAGACTTTTTAACTTAAAAGTGTTTGGGATCACCTATTAGAACTCATGTTGAAGTTTTTAAACGACAGTGATTTAATGTGATTATTCATTTTCCAATCAGTCAAAATAAATCTACAACTTATTGTTGCTCTTATGTCAAAAGAATTTGATTTTCATATAGTTTGGAAAAAATACTTCTTAGATTTTGTAGACCTGTTGATACATCATTTGCTGCTTCATAGTAGATGAAGGTTGGTGGTTCACATGCACCAGATGCTCCTTGGAAACTGTATGGGGCAGTTCCACTCTGTCCTGTAGGGTTGCTATGAGTCGGAATCGACTTGACAGCAACGGGTTAACATATCACATGCTTCCTACTTGTAAAATGCCTGAATGCAACCTCTTCATAAGGAAGAATTACTGTATTTCTGCATTACAAAATAATACAAATGTTTGTTGTGTAGACTTGCCTTATTGTGAAAATCAGAGAAAACCATACCTGTATAGCTTTTTAAAGATTACCTTTAGTTTGTGTATAATTTAAACTTGAACACCTGTTATTTTAAATAAGACCTGAATCGCTGTCAGAACAGTGAACTGAGATAAATGAATAAACAAACTCCTGCCTCAAAAGTGGAAAAGTATTAGAATATGCATATATTCCAGAAATGATGGGAGTATAGAGACCCAAGAGTGTATGGGGGATGTGTGTGTATGTAGTATTCTTGTATAATGTCCGTACATTTAGTTTCCAACGAATTAGTTTGCTGTATCTTTGATGTATTTATATGATCATTTTACTTAAGTCAACATTAAAGCATATACTTAAGAAAAATCTACTATTTCCATGGAATAGAATTTCTCCTTTAAGAATACTTACATTTTTTTCATTATTTTATTAACCCCACTAAATTATATTACATCAATAATGTTAAAAAGATCTGTTTAAAAATGAGTATACCATATTTTGAAAGTACTTTATTAAGTAACGTAATGAGAATACATATTTATATTTAAATGTTAGCCAGAATAGTTGAGACTGCCATCATTTTTTAAGTTGCTTTTCAAATTTAAAAAAGTTGAAAATGGAACTACTTCTTCAAAAGAATTTAAATTTGTTGATACAAGAAAAATAGCCTATATTCCTATTTGGATCAGTTTGTCACCATATATGATGGCAAGATATGTAAATTAAATTAATCTTGCTTAGGATGGTGGCTACCAAACCGAAGAGAAAGCTGTCCCATCTGAAGCCACAGCCGCCACCTTTATTTTTTTGCCTTCTCCCTGTTATTCTCCTGATCCAGCTTTCAGGTGAAAGGTCAGGCAGATTTGTAGCTATGATGGCAAGTGAAGAGTTACTTATTTTCTTTGATTTGATGTTTTGTTTTCCCTGTTCTGATGAGTTGCATAAGGTAATGATGAGAACTCAGTCTCTGGACTCAGGTTAAGTCTGGCTTTACCCTTGCTGCTCTTCTGACCTAGGCAGTTCCATAACCTCTCTAAGCCTGTTCTGTCTGCAAGGTGAGAATACTATGATAATACAGGATTAAATGAAAATGTAAACAGCTTACCACGATTATTATTATTACCAATATAATTGCCAGTAATGTGTTTTTGAGGTTTTATATTACTTTCATTTAGGTTTATGAAGGTAAACTAGCTGACCAGTACTTCCAGAGAACTTTATTGAAGAAAGTCTGGAAAGCATGGCATTCCACGATACAAAAGCAGTGGAAAGATATGGTGGAACGAGCTTGTCAAGCAAGAGCTGAAGAAGTTTGTGTCCAGATTTCCAATGATTATGAAAACAAAGTTGCTGCGGTAAAATTCTTTTTAGTTAAATTTTTCACTTTCCTTTAATAACAGTAAAGAAGATGGGTAACACCAGTCACTGTTAGTTTTAATTAGACTGAGTAACCCATTTCTCCAACCCCATTAAATGCAGTTACACTAATAAGGCCGACTTACAGACTTATTTCTTCCTTTAAATAGCTATGACTGTGCCCTCCAAACTTGTGCTGAATCTTTTGTATGTACATTTCTTTCGGAAATATAAATCGCCCACAGGTACTAACATCTCTAAGACTTAATACTTTAAGTTTGCCTTTTATCCACCAAAAGTGAAGACCAAAAACAAAAATGTTTATCTTCATGTTAGTTTACAAACCATGTTCTTGTAACATTGGTAACAGTTTTTTTTTTTATTTTTTTATTGTACTTCAGGTGAAGGTTTACAGAACAAATAGATTCTCATGAAACA